AAGTAGCACTTTTTCTGTTAAATGAACCGTTCTCACAGAAACAACGCTTGAAGCTACCGGCGGTTTTGAATGTCAGTTGCGCGTGCTAAATCAATGTTAAATAAAATGTGTATCAAGTCGACGGTAAAAATTCGATATTTTTTATCAGAATGTCCTACCGAAAAAATCAAAATGCGTTTTAAAGGTGAAGAATGCAGCTTTTTTGTGCAATTTTTGTATTTTGCCGCAAATAAGATCAGTTTATATAAATCTGTTCAATAAATAAACGTTGCGCGATTTTTGCCATTTTTTACAATTCTCATGAGATCAATAAAATTTATCACTTTAATTGATCGGTGAAATATCAATTGTTTGAGACCAATCTTCAAAACCTATAACATGAAGTTTGAATTTGGAGTTGTAGCAGCAAATATGAGGCATTTTAAATATGATTAAAAAACGCAGAATTTAAACTTTTATATTATAAACGTCACGGAAAATGCCTCCAAAGAAGATGGTTTTAAGTATAATTTGTAGCAGAAGATGGGTAGTTTCGAAAAACATACTAGCGTAATTGAAAAAGAGCAGTTTTAAATGATTTAGGTCGTTTGTAATGTGAAAGTTTAAATTCCGCATTTTTTATGCATATTTCAAATGCCTCACATTTGTTGCCAAAACTCAAAACTGCAATTTCATGTTATAGGTTTTAAAGATTAAGCTCTAGTTATCGAAACTCTACAGTGGCCGGTTAATAAAAGGGATAAATTGTATTGATCTCACTGAGAGAACAGTTCAATCTACAAAAAGCGCTAATAAACAATTTTGTTCAGAATTATCTTGGCTACATTTTTTATTTGAAATATTTTTTTCCATGACGTACAGATTTTTAATAAATCGATTGTTTTCCGTTTTCCCTAGAGGGGGGTTTTAGAAGAAAGCCCGAGCTTTCGCTAAATTGACACTCTCACTATAATTCAGTATATCTATATTGGGAGTAATCTAAATGTAAAACCAAATACTTCCTTTGTTGCGATAGTATTATTAGTTGAGTATAACTACAATTACATTTTATATTTGTTTTTAACTTTTATTCATACTTATGGGGGCGATAATCTTGCATGAAAGTCTTCTATCCAATCCGTGTCAATTAAAAGTTTATTTTCAAATTTAGGATTTTTGTAGCAGTTTACCTTTTTCCAAATTTTAGAAATTGGTGTATTTTGCTTTCAGCTTTTACTGTGTTGAATCCATTTGGGTTTATTTGTAGAATTGAGTGTACTTTCAAACGTAATCACTCTGCTATCGATTATATTCTAGATTTAAAAGGCGGTATCAATGAAACAATTGCAAGACGCACTAGCTTTCAAATTAATAAAAAAAAATTACAAACCTGTCATTTCTTTTAACAGTTTATAGTTCTTATCTTAAATAAAAATTTGAACAAAATAGTACACAACAATATTTGGTACTTACCTAGTCGCACTTTGCTTTATAGACCAGGGCCTAAGTAATTGAAAGTGGTAAAAAGTAAAAAAAATAGAAACAGGATGTAACCCATTGTAAAAAGAAGAAAATATAACAAATATTAGAGAAAATTTAATTTACGGCGATCTGAGCTCGGGTAGTGGAAGGGGTGGGTTTTTAAGAGTAAAAAACGGTTTATCACAAGTTCCGGCAAAACTAGTCCAATGGAAAAAGCTAAAGTTGTAGGTAATAAAAAGATCTACAACTTTTTTATTTACACTTTTTTCACATAACTTGAAGCGAAAAATTTTCCTAGTTTTTGGATTTTTTATTTTTAATTTGAATGTTTATATATTTGTTCACGAAATTTGATGAAAACTTACCTTCTTATGTCTCAAACACACTGTAATTGTTTCATTTTAAAATATTTATTTTTCCCCTTATTTTGATTTAATATCGAAAAAACACCGTAATTTTTACTAGAAAATTCTCACATCAAAATATGTTTTTTCGAAAATATTATTTCGAAAAATAAGTCGATTTTTTGTTTGTAAGAAATAAACGTTACTTGGCGAATTTTCTCAGAAAATGCAAAAGAAAGAAAACAACTCCCCATCAAAAATACACCAAAGTTCATGTATTCATCATAAACTAGTTCCTGCTATCTTTAAAGGCAATTTAAGTTTGGCAGTAGGTAATCAGTAGAAAAACTGGACTAAAATATACACGAATGCATCTAAATGCGAACAAGGAGTTGGAGTAGCTGTATTAACTCAAAATGATTTTCTTCAATTTCTATATTCATTTAACAGAAAAGTATAATAGCCGTCAACAAATACATACACAGAACACGTGAAACCTGATGTTGATATAATCGTACAGGGTTGTATTAAGATTCTAACAGTCTATATCATCTGAATTTGAAATTAGGTAATTTATAATTTTTAGGATTACTGTTAAAATAATAGTAATCAATGATTAATCTTTCAATGAAGTATACTTAAATATTAGTTTTTGAAAACTGTCATTTAAGACCAATATTTGGAAATAAGTAATAATATTACCATTATTGATATAAAAAAGACCCCTTATATATAATAGACTTACACATTTCACATTACATTAACATTAATAAATAAAATTTATTTAGTCGACGTTTCGATTTCGATTTAACATTGAATTGAGATTTTAATGATTATCGGTTATGGGGAGAATTGTAGAAGTCAAGTTGAAGTAGCAAACTTACTTAATCAGAGGTATCCTCAGTTGCCTAATATTTCACAAGGTACTGTGTCTAAAATTTATGCACAATTCGGAGAACTTGGACATGTCAAACCATTAAAAGGAAAACCGAACTTCATTAAAGATGAGATGAAAGTGGATATTTTGTTAAGTGTCGCAGAGAATCCAACGTCAAGTTCACGTCAAATTACACGTCAAAATAATGTGAGTCACACAACTATCCTCAGATGTCTTAATGAAGAAACACTTCATCCATATAAATTGACTTTTGTGCAGGAGCTAACAGAAGACGATCCAGATCGTAGAATGGATTTCTGCGAAAGAATGATCGATAAAATTTACTCAAATGAAATAGCTCTTGGCACAATTCTTTTTTCTGATAAATCAACATTTACATTTAACGAAGAGGTTAACCGACAAAACTGTAGATATTGGTCAGCGGAGAATCCTCATTTGATACGTGAGACACACACTTAGTATCCTTAAAAGTTGAATGTTTGGTCAGGTATTCTAGGAGATCATAGTATTGGTCCTATATTTATAGATGGTAATTTGACAGCGGAAAAATATTTAAGCATGCTAAAAGACGTTGTTCTTCCTCAGTTGGCCAACCTGCATCCTAAGAGACGATGTTCTTCCTCTGTTGGCTAACTTATATTTCAATCTAATAGATCTGACTCTACCGCATGAAACTGTCTGGTTCCAGCAGGACGGTGCAACACCCCATTATGCTTTATTGGTGAGAAATTACTTGAATCTTCTGTTGGTGAGAAATCTTCTTCAATAAATGTATTGGACGAAGGGGTACTATTGAGTGGCCAGCTAGGTCGCCAGATCTCGCGCCTTTGGGTTTTTTTTTCTATGGGGTTATCTCAAGAACAAAGTATATGTAACACAACCAACTAGCATTGAAGACCTCAAAGAAAGGATAACTACAGAAATACGGAATATTTCACCTCAAACTTTAAACAAAGTTCGGGACGAGATTTATAGGAGACTGTGTTATGCCAACAGCAAGGTGGAGAACATTTTGACCATTTATTTTAATGTAATCCAATCAATTACCTCGGGTATTCTATGAATTAATTGTCTTGAAGAAAATTACACTTAATTTCAAAATTTCACCTTGTATTAATCATAATATACCCTACATGATATAGTTCGTAGATATCGGGTTGTTAAGGAGTTTTTAAAAACATAAAAATATATAGGGTGTTTTATTTGAAATACAGATTATGGACCATGCCAGACTTGCGTGGATCACCCTGTATATTTAAATTTATGTTTAGGAAGCGCACATTTAAATTTAAAAGTTAACGTGTCCTAGAGTTTTTTATTATTTTCTATAATAAGGACCCAAACAATTTTATTCCATAAGTAGTTTCTACACTGTGTAATGATCAACATATCACCTCACTACAATCATAGTGTCATAAGGACAAGATGAAGACAGACAGTACCCTGGATATAGGCGGAAAACTTCTTATTGGCGATATCTATATTATTGATTTTTAACAAAATAAACTCTTTGCTGGGCCTGAGGATGAGGCAAATATTGTATGCCTCGAAGATCGCTTCTGTAACACTTTGAAAGTTAATATTAGAGTGTGAGTATTGACCTTTTTAACAGTTCACATTTAACATTTTCAGAGTTCTAAGTTTATTTAAATAACACTATAATTATAAACCAACACTTTAATTATACCAACACACATACATAGAGCTATTAAAAGTAAAAATTATATTTATATAAATAAATTCAACAGACATAAATGTTATTCTTAAGGATTACTTAATCCATATCTGTGTTAAAACTGCAAATTAAGCGTTTTTGTTTAGAGGTGTAGATTGTCGTTACTTGTGTTTCTACTTGTTACTTTTGATACACTTTTGTATATAATCAGTTACAATATAAGTAACAAGTAGATACCTCTTCAGCATCTCTAGAGATTGTGAATGAATTTATCATGCCTTAATAGTGTTTATATTCTACTTTTCTGCTAGGCGAATATAATATAGCATATTAATCGCAGAACTTTTTGAATGATTGAAAGCCTTTTAACACCCAAATAGACAAGATGTTTCTTTTTATGTTATACAAAATCTTGAAAACTTTAACATCCATCCAAAATACTTCCGAGTGATAGAGGTAAAGTAATATATCTATTTTATTTTATTTAATTTTTTATATATTATTCTGGAAGTTTCTTGATCCTGTTTCTACTTACATACTTTATACGTTTTGATTATATAAAAATATTTGTATGTATATGTATTTAATTACCCTATTATATATATGTAGAGGTTTGTTTTAGATTTGCCCTACCAGATTATGTAACGACCGATTTCAAGAAACTCTTGCCCAAAGCTACATTTACAACAAATCCATGTAGAATCCAGTACTGTACTAGAGAAATTGTAGTATTTAGAGCAGATCTTATGCCAAAGTTTTTGCAAGGTACTCTACACAAACCAAAGAAGGAAGAACTTTCTGAATCTGTAAGTAAGATAATTATAATTGTTGCTATATTTATCTTATTTTTAATTTTAACTCTTCTACGGGCCGGTCTTTTCACCTGCAATATAATCCTCTCTTCCAGATAGTTATCTAGAGGATAGAAAGATGGCCGGATAAAAGTAAAATTTATTTCGGAACGCATTATGTGGTTGTACGAATAAATAAATAATATAAATCACATTTTACTTTTAGAAAAGAAATTGTAATTAAATTTAAAAATTCTTCTTTTTCTTCTACTTTTTGTAGATCTTTCGATCTGTTTAATTCTGAAGCTGCCTCTGGTTAATTTCTTGGGAGTTAGATTGCCAACTATCCCTCCATCTTTTAAGTGGTCTTCCGGGGGTATTGAACCGGGCGGATTGTTTTCTAGGGCAATTTTTGGGAGTCTATTCTCATCCATTCGTCTTACATGGTTGTACCACATCCTCTTGCGCTGCCTTCCCCATCTTACAATATCTTGAATTTTGCACTGCTCTCTAATGTTTGTATTTCTCGCTCTGTCTCTTCTTGTTTTTCCCATTATTGTTCTTAGGGTTTTCATTTCGGCAACCCTTAGCATCTGTTTCGTTTTGTTAGTATCTTCGCGCACTTCTATGCCATATGTCATGATCGGTCGTATGCAAGTCTTATAGTTTCTAATTTTACTATCTGTGCGCATATACGGATTTGACCAGACTATCTCCCGCAGACATCCTGACAGTGCAGATGCTTTATTGATCTGACTCCTCAGGTCATTTACTGGGTCGTGGGTGCTTGATATATCTATGCCCAGATATCTGAATTAAGGCCTATTCTCACTATAGTGCCAGGCATGTGCCAGGCATGTGCCCTGCTCGAGACGTGCAAAATTACTTTAACGTTATTTAAATGGGTTTAGCGACGGTCCGTTCTCACTACAAGTGCTTGGAGTGGGAACGGTCCGCGCCCGCCATCGGACAATCTTTTCAAACAATATTTTCCTAGCCCGTGCGTGGCACATTCCTTGCACAGTCCTGCATAGTGTGAATACCTCGACGAGTTTCGACAGGAAAAATGGTGCGACCAAAATTATTTTCACATCATACTGATGAATTTTTAATAGAATTAGTTCGTGAGAGAAGTGAATTATATGATTTTATGAATCGACTGTATGCAGATGCAGCACATAAGTCTCAGGTATGGAGGGATATTGGAGAAAAAATTAAAATAGGTAAGTAAAACACTATATTTTATCTAGGTAATAGACCACTGCCGATAATATTTGAAACAAAAAAATAGTAGTAGGATGAAACTCGTTGAAAAAAAAAACATATGACAGAAATAAAAGACAAAATAATTCACGGGCGATCTGAGTTCGGGAAATGGAGGGAGTGAGTTTTTTAAGGGCGAAAACGGTTTATCGTGATTTCCAGCAAAATTATAAGTCATCTAGGAAAAAGTTAAATAGCAAAGTTGTGGATAATAAAAATATCTATAACTTTTGTATTGACACTTTTTTCACATATCCTCAAAATCTATGCGAAAAATTCAAGTAACCAATATTTGGTTTTTTATTTTCATCTTCTTTTTTATTTTTATTTTATAAAGTTTGGTGAAAACTTTCCTTTTTATGTCCCAAACACAATACATTGTAATGTCGAAAAAGCCCCCTAATTTTAAATGGAACAGTGTGTTTAGGACATAAAAAGGTTTAGTTTTCACCAAATTGTGTAAATAAAAATAAAAAATTATATACGATAAAAATTTTCTTCCTCTTAGAATGAGTTTCATCCTACTACTATTTTCTTTCACTTTTTATTTTTTTTTGAAGGCTTAATCTATAAAGTATACAAATGTTTTTATTTATTATTATTTATAAAAATGTTAGTTTAATGCGACGAGTAACAAAAATAAAATCAAATTTTATTATTTTGCCATGGCACAGATCCAGCTTCCGAATTAAAAAATGTTGTAAATTGCTCCCTTACATGAAATGCCACCTGTTGCGCATTTCCACCCTGTTTCGGTAGATTCAAGAGGCAAGTATCCTTCACTGCATTTTCATCATCATTTGTCTCCGACAAAGGATTAATTATATTATTTCGCAAGAAGTTGTGTAGAATACATGTGGCCAAAATAATATTTTCCACATATCCAGGTTTAGCATGCAATTTTCTAAGGTAAATACGGAATCTTTGCACCAAAAGTCCAAATGCATTTTCAACCACACGTCTTGCACGGCAATGTCTATAATTAAATATTCTTTTTTGTATATTGTTAATAGTTTGCTGTTCTGAAAACGGTCGCAAAAGATTTTCTTTTAAAGGAAAAGCAGAGTCCCCTAAAATAACATATGGGACTTTTATGTCAGAATCGGGAAGAAATGTAGGTGGAGGTATATTAAGTTGTCCATTTTCTAACGATTGTCCTAAATTTGAGCTAGAAAATATGCCGCCGTCACTATTTTTACCGTAAGATCCGACATCAACACTTATAAATCTATAATCGGCATCTACTAGAGCAAGTAGAACTACAGAAAAAGTCTTTTTGTAGTTAAAGTAGCTGGAACCACTATTGGCTGGTGCTATAATTTCGATGTGCTTTCCATCTAGGGCTCCTAATGCGTTGGGGAAATTCCACGACAACCAAAATTTTTTGGCAATTTGTTCCCAATCGCATTCTGCTGGTATTGGCATACATATCTTCAATAATTTTTCTATAATAGCACTACAAACTTCTTGTACAATTGCGTGCACAGTGGCGTGTCCTAGACGGTAACTGAATGATATAGTTTGGTACGAGTCTCCAGTTGCAAGATATCTAAAAAAAATACGGATTAAGTTTTAACTGATTTTTTGTACTTTTAATATTTTGCGTAAAATATATCAATAACGGTATGTACTTGTTCGCAGATCCGGCTGACTGTAAACACAGATGGGAGGCAATAAGGTCCCAGTACAGAAAATTTATAGCAAAGCACAAAACCAGAACCGGTCAATCTGCAACCGACATCAAATACAAGTATGGTGAATTACTTCAGTTTTTAAAGCCGCACATGAAAGATAAAGAAAGAATCTCGTCCTTGCCTGTCAGTCAAGAAGTAGAAGATTCTGGTGATGAAGAAGATGGCGAAATTACAAGAGAAGATGTAATAGACGAAATCATGGAAGCCTCTGATGATTCTCAAATTCAGTCTGATTCTACTAAGACAGTAGAAACCAAGAAGTCCAAAAAGCAACTGAAGCTATTTGTAAAAAAAACTAAACTTAAAAATAAGGATCCGCCAGAGTCAGCAAGTGGAATATTAATGTCTTTTCTTTTGGACGAAGAGAAAAAGAAAAAAGTTAACCAACCAGATGAACTAGATCACTTTTTTGATAGTATTAAACTCACGGTTCGAAAGTTTTCAAACGTAGATAAACATTTAATCAAACAAAAGATTTTTATGGCTGTGCATGAAATGGAAATGAAATATCTATATTCACCACAACAATCACAACCAATAATAAATGGCGTTCAAACATCATCAAAACAACATACTTGCACCTCAGAAGTTCCTCCACTACCACATACATATATGGTGCAAGTACCGCCCACATCACGACAGTTCGCCGCGCCATACACCAATCCGTATAGACCAGTACAACAACCAACCTTTGAGAGGAATTCATTTTTATACGAAAGAGATGGAAGCTCAATGGTTTTTCCGCAAAATCCCATGCCGCATATAGAATCATCGTCCCAACATCAACCACCCAACACCAGAGTCTCTACCCCAATAACTTCTCCACTATCTGCTGATCCTGGTGGCAGTGACAATTTTTCGTCACTTCATGGCATTTAATGGTATTTTAGTTTTAAAATAAAGTTTTCAATAATTAAAAAAGTCACTATTTTATTACCTACTGCAAAATAAATAGAAAAAAAAATAAATGCAAAATAATAGGAAAACAGATTCTGCATACGCACTTCACCTTCTAGATCACAATCATTCTTTTAATGACGAATTTAAAATTCTTCACATTCAAAATAAAGGCCTTAAGCTATCCTTGTTAGAATCTATGGAAATCAACAAATTAAAAAAGACAGATATAATTCTGAATGACTAACTTGAGACAAACAGTTCTCCCCTCCTCAATCTATTTCATTAGAGACTATAAAATGTTAACGCATGCTAAAAATAGATCACTTGAGAAAAGCAATCTGCCGAAACAGCTGTAGTGATAAGTTAAAATAAATTTTGTGGAAGTTTGAAAACAAAGTTTTTAGTGTTTTATTATTACATAAATAGAAAAGGGACTACTTACCTTAAGCAGACTGACAACTTTTCAATCGGAGTAATCGCTTCGCGAAACTTGGAATTTTTTTTCCTAATAATATCTTCAATATGTGCTAAAAGATTATGAAATTCGGCAACTGACATTCTATAATAAATATAAAATTTTGACTCATCATCCATGAGTTCTTTATACAAGGTATAGTATTCTCCTTCTATTTTTCTTTTCTTAATCATTGGATGTATCCAAAACCTCCTTTTTTTAACTTTATCTCTCATATTCTCTTCTTCTTCGGCATCCAAAGTTAATGCAATTTTTACTAAAGTTGCCGTGGAAAACATTACAACTGCACAACTACCCACCGATACGTCTAACATTCGACTGCCTGTGCAAAATACCGCTGAAAGCATGTTACGAGCGCGAATAGTGTGAATATTTACCAAAAGCATGGCATGTGCCGGTCAGGTGACGAGCGCGGGCCTGGCACGTCTAATGAGAATAGACCTTTACATCACCTGTTCTATGGGGTTGTCCTCAACCACTAACTTACATCTGAGCGGATCTTTTGCTATTGTCATACTTTTAGTTTTGTTGGTAGAGATGTTCATATTTAGTAGTCGGCTTGTTTCAAAGAACTGAAAGAGCTGCCTTTGGAGATCATCTTCTGATTCGGCAATAATTGCTGGGGATTAAACTGTCGCCTTGTCTAATTCCTCCCGGTGTTGGAATATTTTCAGTGAATTCGT